AGCGGTGTAGGGTAGCAGACCGCCAATGCATAGGTACCTAAATGGGAGCCTGGCAGTCTCAATTTAAGTCTGATTTTTTAAAAATTGTAGGCTCCTATGTCTCGACATAGCAGCTTATAAAATTTGTTTATAATATTACCTAACTGATGGTGGTCTCGTATTTACAAGGGTTACAACCCTTGAATGAAAGGTTCTGTGTGAAGGGGGAAATTATTGCTCTCCCTTTATTTTTATTTTCTAATGCTTCTCATTGCATTGTATCGAGTTGTTTGTTTTAGCATTTGGTGAATATATGGCAATCCTGATAAAAATATACTAAAAGGAGATGTGGACAAGCAGCCTGCAGCTGGGAACCACCACCCCCAGAGCAGGACATCCCCACCTCTCCCCCTAACAGAGGCATCCCAGCACAGGCTCCTCCTCATCAGCGCTTTAGGTCACCCTCTTTAAGGGGACATTAAACGATCACCAAAGTCCTGATCACCTACTCTACATGATTTTCTTGGCTTTCCAGAATATTCCGAATTTATCTTTTTTTTTCCTCTACTCTCTTCCCAAAATCTCAGTCAAAGGCGAGACAAAGTAACGCCCAACTTGTCATCTGGCTTAGTCTAAACAAACCCGTGGAGGCAGCTGCGTCATAGCAAAATGCACCAGTCCGTTTGTTTTTCTTTTTGAAATTAATCTGCAACAAGCTTAACAATTTTTTCACCTTCAGGGTGCTGGTTTTTAACAAAACGCGTGAGCCCCTGACGCGGCTGTTGGCAGCTTGGTCACTGGCTCAGGTTCTTTGTGAAACCGATCCATGGAATTTAAACGTAAAGAATGAGTTATTTAATCAGACACCTCTTCTTGGACGAAACCCAAGAATACAAAACCTGTTTTATTCTGCAAAGGGGCTCACACTGGTTAGACCTCAGGCTCTGTTAAGCCTCCTCACCCACAACATCTTCTGCTTCACATGGGCAATGAGTGTCCAGCTCGCTGCTTGCCAGGAGCATCATATAAAACCAGTTCACTACAAGGGCACGCAGTGTTCCTGATGAATTGCTGCTCAGCCTACATGGCAGAGATCAAAATGGCTTTGTAACCCCCTTTCTTTTCCTTCTTGACAGGTTCAGATAACTCTGATTTCCCACGACTGTGGTGGACTGACTAAGAGAGATGTGAAGCTGGCTCAGTTTATTGACAAAGCTGCTGCCTCAGTGTAACCAATATGTAAAATGCTTTAATACAGTGTCCACTAATATTTTGTAGTTTAATGTTATCCCTCATTCCTTGTAACCCTGATTTCACAAAACCCCTGAGACAAGATATAGCGTAAAAAGAGTGACTTAGCTTTGTTGGCCTTTAAGACCTTAGTCTTGAGACCCCTCTGGATGCCTGTGCTTGTCCTTTGCCATCGCTGTCTCTGCGTGAGGATGTAGCAGATAAACCAGCAACAAATAAGTTTTGAACAACGCTCTTCTAGAAACTAAAACAAGCTGGAATGAAAGCTGCAGCCCAGCCGCACATGTCGGTGTTCCCCAAGCCCACGGGAGCTGAGGCTGGTGGCAGCTCCCATGGGAGCCTGCCCCGTGCTGGGCCGCTTCCCTCCTATAGATTTGTACATCTGTACTCCTCTGCACTTCAAACAGCATTAAGAACAGCCAGGCTGGGTCGGTCCCCTCTGGCTTGGTGCCTGCATCTCGGCCAGTGACCAGTGGCAAGTGCAAGAAACGCTGGTGGGAGCAGCGCAAGCTGCTGTTGATGTTTCCTTGGGAGTTGCAGCTCAATTAGCAGTTACAGCTTTGCATTTCAGTGATTGTTCTGTGCTTGTCCAGTGGCTCGTTGAACCCATCTGCCCTTTTGGCACCCACAACCTAGCAGCTCTATCCAGCAAAAGTGTTGCTGCGTGCTTGAGAATGGTTCCCCATCTGAGATGCAGGACTGGATCCTGCAGTTGCTGAAAACTTCAGCTCTGGTCCAGCAAATAAAAAGAAAACCAGTGAGCTCCCAGCACTCGCATCATTAAACAAAGCATGTGCTTAAGTGCTTGGCTGGGCTGGGTCAGTGCTCAGCACCTTGCAGGATTGAGCCATTATTTGTGTTGTAACGCTCCCGTACCTGCTGGATTGTGGGGGGTAGCTTGGCCGGGCGCCCAAAGCACCGGCCAGAGCTGCCGGCGGTGAAGGAAGCGGCATTAGCAGGATTCTTGCTAAGCTGGGCTCGGCTGAAGCTATGCTCACCTTTTTTTTTCTGTAGCTACAATTACTCATTGCAAACATTGTTCCAAGAGCTGCAGATCCCACTGACGAGGTTTGAAATAATTTCTTCCGTGGTTTCAAAGTCTTTGTTTTTATCCTGTGATCCTCACCGAGACAGATTTCCACTGCCGACAGGGAGATTTCAACCTGCTTAAGGCTTGCAGGAGGGCCTCTCGCTCTGCAATCCCGCTGCCGAGTGTCCCCAACGTGCACCGTCATGCCCTGCAAGCAGCTCTGGGTGCGGAGATTGACACCTCCGAAATGCCTGAGTGCATTGCTCGAATGACACCGGCGGCATAGCTACCAGCTACCGAGAAGTGAGATACACACTGAGTGCCAAAATCCATCTCGGATGTATATGTGAGGTGTGTGGTCTCTCAGATATTTGGGATGCAAAATGCCACTAGCTGCCATGCAAGTACTCACATCGATAAAATAAGAAAAGTATTTTTTGTTAATCCTTAGCAAGTGCACTGTCATGTGCTAATTGGTCACAGGAAACAAGATAAGATGTTGGGGTTTATTGTTGGTAACAGTACTTGGAATATCAAGTTAATATGTAAAAAGACCCAAATTCAGACTATGTGCTCAAATGTTCTTTGCTTACAAGTGCCTTTCCCCAGTGAAGCGGTGGATTTCCCTGATACGGTTTGAAAATGGTCACTGTTGTGAGGAATGCATAAAACTAAAACAAACAACCAGGCTGTGATGTCTCCTGTTACTGGTGGGGAAATGAAATGAGCTTCACCCAAAGTTTTGACAATGTCTCTAATGAACTGTGAAAACACTGTTGTTGGAAATTGATATATCATGCATGCACTTTGAATAAAACCAATAAAATAAAATTCCTCCTTTGTAAGTTGTTTCTTTATTATTGTACATATGTGACAAAGCTGTTTAGTTTTAAGATAAATTTAAGATAAGTAATATTTAGTTACTGGGAGGTCTTTAGTTTAGAATATTGTTATTTATTTACATTCTCTGAGGAAAAAAAATCCCCACCAACTAATAGCTCAGAGAGCTGTACTGTCCAGCTATGGCATAGAGCTGTGCAGCTGTGGTGCTTTGAGGATCCCTGACTGGTGAAGGGGCAAAAATACTCAGAAAAAAGGAGGATGACTTTTGAAATGCTCGTAGTTTCTAGGTCAGCACTTGTTTAGCCACCATTTCTTGTTAACTTCTGGGGCGTCCCACAAACCTGCGAGTGCCTTTTGTGAGCGTAGCTCTGCAACGCTAATAATAATAAAATAAAAATAGTGAATAAACAGCTTCCGCTTTCTTTTCCAGCGAGTGCTGACTTCAGAGGCGGTCTCACAAGGGACATCCTGGCTCTGCTGATGCCGTGAAGAGGTCTGCCATCGTGCTGCTCCCTCGGCGTTCCCAGGCAGAGCCTTTGCCTCCGGCCCCGCTTGGTTTTTTTCGGCTGCCGCTGCTTGCTCCCTGCGTGCGTCGGGAAGCAGTGATGCTCTCCTTGGCTTCTCCTCCCCTTGCAGCCACCAGGGATTTTCTTTCATTATAAAAGCACCCTTTATTTGCAGGTTGGTTTTCTTTTTTGGACAGGCTTCCCAGCATTCCTGAAACGCATCCCGAACCTGCCATGAACCCCCTTTGAACTCCACCTCCCACCCCGTCTCGGCAGCATCCCCAACTCGCCGCTCTCCGCAGAGCTGGGCAGGGATGCTCTGCGATGCCGAGGAGCCCTGACCCCCCCTTTCCCATAGCTCCCTAAATCCACGGCAGCTGGTTCGCAGCCACTCTGTGCTCCTGCATCTCCTGAGCTCTCCTCCACCTGCACGTGTGCCGCTGCTGCGTGGTGAGCGCAGGGTGCTGAGGGCCATGGGGAGGGGATGCACAGTCGCCCTGACCGAGCTGGAACTTCCCAGCAAATTTATACAGCAAGGATTTAATGACAGGCGCTGGATTTGGGCCAGGAAAGTTGGCCTAAGGCGCCTTCTCTTGTGAAGAGCATTGTCAACTCCACCCGGAGCAAAAGCAGCCGGAGCGCAGGGTTTTGGGTCTTTTCCAGGTGATGGCATCTCTGGAGCAGCACATCTCGTGCACCTGCACAGTCGCACCCCGATGCGGGATGGCACAGCTCCTGCAGACTAATCACGTTTCCCTCTTCACTGTGAGGTTCGGCTCATGGCTAGCAGCCACCAGGTTAAATATTGCCCTGGAATGTTTGGGGTTTTCTTGCTTTAAGACTGATTGTGGCTTGAAGTATTTGGATAATCCATCGTGAAACAGCCTTCTCCTTGCAGGTAACTTCCCTGCGTCGAGATTGATTTAACCGGGTGTGTGTCCCCCACCAACCCAGTCCACAGCGTGTGGGAAACGCCGTCCCTGTGAGACCCTCCGATGGTGCTCCGTGGCCACAGGAAATTAAAAAGCAAAAACTCAAGGCTGAGAGAGCAGGGTAAGAAGGATGCCTGCAGCATGATACGTGGTTGGGATTGCTCCTTTGAGGCTGGAGATCACACCTTCACAGGACTGTCTCTGAAACAGGGCCAGCAAATAATCCTTTCCTTTCCCCCAAAGTGGGGGCTCAGGTCCAGTAAACTGCAAAGATCATATTGCAAGGGGCAGCGTTGGCATTGGATGCGCTCTGGGGATGGGGTCCCGCAGGCAGCTCTGCAGGAACGTGTTGGAAAACAGAAGTCTATCTTGGTTTGTGAGTTATGGCTCAGTTCGACTGTGCCAGGATTCCTCTTGCCCTCCCTCCTCCTCCTGGCTGCTCAGACTGGCAGCCGAGGCATGGTGGTGGAGTGGCTGAAGAAGAGGTGGGTTCTCTGTTAATTAACCTCTCTCATCAGGGGCAGTGTTGGACATTAGAAGGCTAACGAGGACATAGCCTCACCCAGCTGCTTCCCGAGGCTGGAAGGACAGACGGACGTGGTTACTTTTCAGATGCTTCCCCGTTGTCTGTGACACATCCCCGGCTCCAGGATGGGGCTGGAGGGATCACAGCATCCCTTGGGATGTGTCCGGGCTGCTGTGCCGGTGGCCACTGGCTCTGCATCAGTCCCACCTGGAGCCTTGGGGATTCAGCAGAGCAAAACCACAGGGCAGATCCCATCGGACTGGAGTTTTCAGTTGGTTTATGTCCCCCAGATAGCTTGGCCCTGGGTCAGGGATGCTCGCAGCATCCCTAGTTTTCAGTGACGAGCACAATTTCTGTGTTTGCTCCGATCCCTGCTCCAGCACTGCCTTCATGCTCAGCCTCACATCCTGCCAGGTCCTTAGCCCTGCTCTGCCTTTCCCTCGTCTGCGAGTGCTTTTCAGTCATGCAAAACACAATTTTGAAAGCCTCACACTTTCTGCAGCTTCTTATAGATGTGTGCGTCTCCTCTGGCCTTTTCAGCCTCAGGTTAATGAAGGGATTGCTACTTAACTGAAGGTAATGGGTTCTTCTGCATGAGATAGTTTCGGCTCTTCACAATTGTTTGCTCCAAGAAACAAATATTTGTGGCTTACTCAAAGCTGCGCCTCGGGATTAGCCAAACGTGTGTGTCCTGGAACAAGTGCTCGGAGAGCATCCAGCCTAGCAAGCACAGAGATGCTGACTAATTGAAATAAATTGGCAATTGTTAATACTTTTTCTCCTAAGGAACCAAGGCAAGAAGCAAACATGGATGTGAGTTATCCTGCCAACATCAAAGGCCATGTTTATGTAAGCGCTGCTTGCGCTGAAGATCTGTTGCAGAGCTGGACCCTTTGGTGATGAACTGACAACTCATTTGCAAACGAACTTTAGAAAGAGTCCAGGCATGGCTGCCAGCGGTCCTCTGCTTAGAGCCAGGCCAGCCCGTGCGGGCTGCGGGGATGCTGGAGCCTGGGAAGGATCCTCAGAAAGAGCAGAGGTCTGTGCTTGGGCTCCTGCACCATTTCCAGACCGGTGGTGGGTGCATGAAGGAGGATTACCCCCCCCAAAGCTCGAACGCACACCTCATCGTAGGAGCACTCGGCATTTTTTTGCTGTTAGACACTAGTGCCAGGGTGACACGACGGCGTGATGCTCCTCTGCGGGGCCGGCAGCGTTTCACCGCTGGCTGCTCCCACCTCGGCATGGAGACGGGCCGTTCCCTCGGGATGCCGGGAAGGAGGGAGCCCCGTGTCCACGCAGCATCATCCTGGCTCATCCCCCCCAGGTAGGAGCAGGTTTAGACACACACAGCAACGCAAACCCAGTAAATTAAGAATAATCGGCATCTGCTTGTTATACTGCTAATGCAGAAATTTTGTTTATCCAGGACTTGGCCCCAGCACTTACGTGTGTGGTTTCTTCTTCTGGAAGTGACCTCATAAGGTGGTGACATCAAACAGCAAGTTCCACCCATGCCAAGAGTCACTTGGGGAAGCTAAGGAGCACCTGGCTATTTCATGGAGCCATCAGGGAAGTGGCACATGGAGCATCCAGACCCTTCCCAGCATGGACAAGTCACCTCCAATTTTCTTACTAGATCCTTCCAGTGTCTGTTGGAGGCCGTTGCAAGGCATGCTCCCTTCTCAGGTACACACAGAGCAAAGTCCTTTTGGTGCGGAGCTACCCCCCAGGTGATGCCTGTGCTGTGGGACCTGCTGGATCGGGTCCAGTTCAGCCTGGGTGAAGGGAGGACTCGGACAGGAGCAGGATCTGCAGCTGGGGTGGGTCATGGGAAAACCAACGAAAGAAGACGGCAAACTGAAAGAGCTCCCTCCAGCTCTGCTGTTGTTTCTGACAGGAGAAAGGACACCAAGTTCTGTCCCTCTCTGCGCAGGCTGCTGGGCAGCCACAAATTCACAACGCTCGCGATCTGCATCATCTCCATCAACGCCATCTCCCTGGCTGTGGAGACCACCTCCCGCTGCCGGTGGTGCTGGGGTACCTTTTTCGAGGTGAGGCGTGATGGGACCCTCCCACGTGCCACGGCCAGGAGGGGACGGATGGAGGAGAATGGGGGTCTGGCCCCCCGTGGCCACTCAGGGGGGCTGCCAGCCCGCTGTCCTCCCCCGTGCCATTGCCTGCATCAGCCCAGGGCTTGGAAGAAATGCATTTCAGCTTCAGATCCCTTCACTTATTCGATAATTATCATTCTTAAAATGCAATTGTTCAGTCCTTTCCATGGCAGCCCTTTCCCCCCCTTGCGGTTTTAGCACAGCTAGTTTAAGCACCCTTTTAATACTCAATTTTCACATTGAAAAATCCCTCTTGGTCACACTCCTTGATTTCCTTGTCTTACACAAGCCAGCTACTGTACGCAAACCTCTGAGCCTTAATTATATATCCCAGTAATATATAGCCAGGCCTGGCTAATGTCAAGAAACCCAGTCACGAGCGTCGGAGGTTTCCGAGAGCTCTGGCTGCAGGACCAGGCTCCGTGCAGGGAAGCGAGCGGCGCGTGCCCAGCTCCGAGGAGCCGATGGGGTGCGTGATGTGTTGGGATGCGGCCAGGACCCTCCCGTGCTGGGCAGTGACCCGTGATGATGACTGCGGTGGGGTGAGCTCAGCTCGTGTTGGAAATGGTCCTGGGGACACTTAATACGAAAGCGCCGGCTCGGTGCGCGGTGTCTGGCAGCCACAGGCAGCTACCTGGGCTCACCGCCTCCTCTCTCCAGGTCACAGATGCCTTCTTCGTCGCTGTTTCCACCACCGAGCTTTTGCTGAAGCTGTATGCAGCCCCCATCACCTGCTGGAAGAGCGGATCCAACATCTCAGACGCTGCCATCCTCCTCATTGCCTTCCTCCCACACGTCTTGCCCGTGGACATCACCCCTCGTACGCACCCGGAGGGGACGACCAAAGGTCTCCAAACCCTCCGCATACTCCAGATCATCAAGTAAAGCTCCGCTCGCTAGTTAAGTCACAGCAGAGAGGGGGGGTCCCCAGCCAGGAGCGGGGGGAGGCTTTGCCGTACCCAGGTGTTTGGGGCTGCCTGGCCCAAGAGGGGCTGATGCTTGCGGTAGCTTGTGAGCAAAAGCAAAATCTAGTCATTCCTGATTTTTTAAGAAGCTCGTGGCTTGGCCATTGTTTTTTTCCTCTGTTTCTCCTTCCCCCAAGGAGAAGAGAGATTTTCTTTTTTACTACAGCAGAGTAGATGCAAAAAAAACCCCCAAACCTATAAAACATAGGTCACATCCTATTCTTGGTCTGTGTGTATTTTTCTCTCCAGCACACCATCTCCTACTTAGTTTTCTCCTGATGACTCTGGAGGTTTGTTTTTGAGCAAGGAGCTTTTGTGGGCAATGAATGCTCAGCCAGCATTTCTGCGTGTAATTAATTGGCTGGGTAGCCCACCAGAAGTGGGATGTTTATGGGCACAGGGCTCTTATAACGTTCACTTCTGAGCCTTCATTCCTCTAGTTTGGATCGTAAACTTCACTTATCACCAGACTTTTATATGTTAATTATTCTGTGTCGCTGGGAGAAGGGAGGACATGTAGAAGCGCATGAAATAATGAATGGTTTAAGCATGGGGGATCAGATGCTCCAGTTTGGTCTGGCTGATTATGAGAGAGCAAATTGATGCATGGCAAAATGGGAAGACATTTCAATCAGGGTAAGCGTGTGCTCGTTGGTTTGAGCCTCATGCTATGCACTTGTGGAACTCACTGCCAGGAGATGCCTCGTCTGGGGACCACGAGGAAGAAAGCCTGTAGGATAAGATTTGGCACCGTTCCCCCCTGAGACACTTAAAATGTTGAGGTGCTTTGAAAAAAAATCCCACTCGGCACAAACCTGCAGTTTAAGAGCCTAAATGCCTTTGAAAATCTGGGCCGTGCAACACTAGGTTTTGATGGAGGTCAGTGGGACTTAACACCTAAGGGACCAGAGCCACTGGGAAATTGCATCCTGGCTTGGGTGACAATGCCTAGAATGGCATTACTGGGGAAAAAAATACCAAAGAGGAAAATTCTTCAGGCTCTCACAGTCCCTTCCTGTTCCAGGGATGCTATAAATATGCTGCAAAGCCACGCTGCTGCTTTCCAGCTCCAGGGGTGTTTGGTACTTGCCTTTGCATCCTGATCTGAAGGGACAAGTGCCCTGAGCCGCTTGGCATCCCGAGAGACAACACCTCTTTGCCTAAAATTTGTTTTAAAATGTGATAGGGCTGTCTAAATGCATTTTGCTGAAGGTGCACGAGGCTGTTTATGCCTCTGTGTGTATTGTTATTTATTAATTGAAGCCTGAATTGGCCCTCAACAGGTTAGCAGTATTTAATGCAGAGAGCTCAAACATGCAACACATTCTTGGCACGTTTCCCTTTATTAATTAAAAACCTCTTTAAAACACTCTGCCTTCCACCTTGGAGCAATAAATTTCCACCTTGAGGAAATAATTTCCTTGTTGTATTCCATACAGAGACGTTCTGTTAGCTGCAATCCCTGTTTTAGTGTAGGCCCCATTCATCCTTATTTCAATTTCAAAATAAACTTTAAAAATGCCAGGTTGTTCTGTAAAAAAAAAAAAAAAAAAAAAAAAAAAAAATCGACTTTTCTGCTTTTTTAAAAATATATTTAGGAATAATTCCGATGTAGTTTACTACCTGTGTAGACTGCGAACCACAAAGCTCCTTCTTAATAAAAGCTCATAGGACTCCACAGCGGTTCCTGAAGCAGCCGGAGAAGCCCTGGCAATCAAAAATGAGGTGACGGTCCTGCACGGAGGCACTCGCCAGCCTGCAGTTGCCGGGAGCGTTTTACGGCCCTCCTGTCACCCCCAGCTCTGGGTGGCTGGTTTTCTTTATGACCATGTGCCACAGCCCAAACCTGCCTGACGCCATGACATAACTTGGCAAAAATGTCACCAGATTTTTGGGGGTTGAATGGCTTTTGTTCCCCTGCTAGTCCCGGGCTGCGCCTGCCGGAGAGACCTACGTGTGCAGGGAGGCAGGAAAAAAACCCTTTGCTGGTTCCTCCAGGAATTTGTACCAAACTCGGTGGGTTTAGGGCTGGGCTGGTTTGGGCTTTCTGAGATGGTTCTGCAGGCAACGCAGCTGCACGTGGTGTCTCTGCGTTGGATCCTGCTCTTCCCTGCTGCCCCGGGCAGTAGTGTGGTGGGATGATTATCTGGAGCAGGCAAGACTCGCAAAAGTAGGGAATTGCTGCAGGAGTCCCTAACCCATCCGAACAAGCTCGGGATGTTGGCAGCCGGAGGAGACTGGGAAGAGCCCCTTGCTCTAGCCCTGCACAATGCGATTCGGAGCTTTAACCTGAGATGCTGTTGGCAGTCAGAGATGATGGATGGACAGTCCTTGAATGGGTGCACTGTGTAAGACCCCTCCAGCACTAGCAGGCACAATGTTACCAGGGGAGCAGCCAGCCCGTGCTGCTCCTGCTTGCCAGGGCAATGTAGGATGGATGCAAGAGACTGCACGAGGCTGGCTGTGATTTGCAGTTAATGGGAAAGTTTGCATTTCCCTAAAAGTTATTGCCAATGATAAGCTCAGTTCACCAAACCAGCACTCCCATCAACTCCCAGGAGCATCTTTTTTATATGTTGGTGTCATATGTGGGTCTTTATAAGAAGTGAGGTGATCTCAGAAGCAATATTGTGTCCCTTCCCAGTGACCTCAGGCTTTGCACGAGGCTTTCCCAAGCTGAGCAGCCACAGAGGGATGAGAGACGACTGCGGACTCCTGTCTCCCATCCTGGCCCATCCTGCATGGCAGGGGACGAGCAGCTGGACAGTGAGGGCATCAGAGATATTGTTCTACCTCCAGGTTATGCTTAGACCCCAAGGCATGAGGGTTAATAGCACTGCTCGTTTTTATTCAGCTAATTTATTAATGTAGAAGCTTGGGAACAGCTGTATCCTGTATCAACAGGAATCTGTTACTCTGTTAGTAACCTGCCCATATTTCAAAAGGCAGTGAGAAGCCCGTGTGTGCTAGGTGTGATGTTTCTGGGACCAAGTAGCCCTTGGTCTTTGCCACTGTGCAGCACTTACTCACCACTGAGCCCTACACGGGCCATTTTCCTGTCCAAGAGGCTGATGCACAGCCAGAGCCTCTAGATTTTGTCATGGTCTCATGCACCATGGTAGCTACCCCTTTCCTCTCCTTAATTCCCAGTACAGCCCTGTAGATACATGCAAGGGAGCTGGCTCAGAGGTGGTCCAGGGAGGCTGTCACCTCCCACATGCCCAGCCCCGCTTCCCAGCCTTCATCCCCACCGAGCATCTCCCTCACCTAGAGATCACACATTTGTTTTTCCTTTTGCATGTTTTCACAGAGACTCTTGGCCACACGGTACAGACAGTGATGTATGCCCTTATCCTGCTATTCCTGCTGATGTTCGTGTTTGCCATTTTGAGACGTGGATGGTATGGAGATCCCAAAACTGGAGACGCTGAAAGCTGGGGCAGCTTGAAGGCTGCCTTCTTCACGCTCTTCAATTTAGTAACCGTAAGTACAGCAGCATTTTCCAGTCTGTCTCAGGCAAACGACAAAGCGCAGATTTTGGAGTGCTGCTGAAGAAGCCCTTTGATTAATCTGTGACTTCATTAGGGAAAGCATGACCTGCTTGGCAGTGAACTCATATTCCAGATCCCTGGGAAAATTTGCTTTGATAGACAAACTTCCCTATCCAGTATTGCAAATTCAGAGGGGAAAATCTCAGAAGCTGACAGCAAAAAGATCTGCACTAGCTGATTTAAACCTGGACCTCTGAGGAACAGAGAAACTGTGATCGGTTTTAAAAAAGAAAGAAAAAGAAGAGGAAGATTTCATATGGATTGTGAGTTATGCTGTGGTTTGGAACTAACTCTCTGGTCTGCTTAAATACATTTGCAGGTTGATGGTTGGACAGACTTACAGCGTGAGGTGGATCATTAAGGGTTTACGAGCAGCCACGTGTTCATAGTCATGTTCATCTTGCTGGGCAACTTCATCATCTTCAATATATTGATTGCACTTCTGATTACCAGAACCCAGGTCATACGAACTCTGTGCATTGAGTGTGCGTGTGTGTGTGTGTGCTACCAGCTAACAGGCTCTGGTTGGAGAGCTGGTGCTTGGCTGCTTGCAGAAGTTGGCTTCTGGTGCAGCTAGAAACATGCTGGATACCAAAGTCCCCAGTCCCTGAGCAGAGTAAGTGTGTCTTTTCCCATGGTCCCCTTTTTGGGTCATCTCTACACTCCTGCTTTGACTATTTTTCCATCGCTGCCAAAAGCTCCTGCTCCTCCAGCACAGCCACCCCCAGGTCCCCTGGGTGCACGCTTTGCACCCAGGTCCTCTCAGCCACGACCCGTTTCTGCCTTGATTTAACCCAGGGCTGCTGTCGTGGTCTTGTAGCTGCCTCTGGCCCTTCTGCAACGAATCCTTGCGTGGGAGCTGGGGCCAGGGTCAGCTGGAAGGGCTGGGGGAATACTGCAAATCCTAAGCAAGAGGCATCTGCTCCCCAGCAGCTATCGGCTGCCAGCCCCAAGGTGGTCCCGCTTAACACCTCTCGCTGCCGCACAGGGCTGTGGCTGGAGCAGGGGTTTTTTTTGAAGCCCAAGTCTCTTTGACCGATCTCTTGACCCACCAGCTGTGAGCGGTGCTCGGGGACTCACTCGCATCCCTGTGGTTTGGCATTGGCAGGACTTGACTCAGAAGTATGAACAGGACTGCAAAGCAGCGAAGGCGGCTGCTGTTTGGGCCAAGAAACAGAAGATCCTGAAAAAGGAGGGGAAGAATGTGAGCAACCAAGTCACGCTGGAGCAGGTGGGCTGTGGTCAGCTGTGGGCAGGTAGCACTGTTTGCAAATGTCGGATGTTGTTTAACAGGGCAAGACGTGAATGAACTGGAGGAAAAATTTCTTTTTCTTTCCTTGCCCATTTTTATAATAATCCAGGCTGTAGATCCTATATGCCTTTTTGGTAGGCTCATCATCTGTGTGGCTAAGAGTATTATGATAGCACATAGCGGTTAAAGTATTATAAAGGTGGAGAAAAACTCTTAATTGGTTTTGATAGGTTTTGTCTGAGTTTGTTTAACTTCAAAGAGAAGTTTAAAAAGAAATCCTTTTAGGTCATGTCAAGCCAAGAGCCCTGTCCAGAAATGGCTTGGACTGGCTTTCTGTGAGCACTCGAGGGAGGTCATGCTCCTTCCCGCACTCTCGCAGCCCGTTGACGCAAAGTATCCAAAATGCTACTACGGGCTTGAAACACATGCTGCAGCATCTGTAGGAGAGCTGTGCGCTGCTTGATACAGGGCTTTTGCAAAGCTGACTTGAAATAAATGCAGTAAAGCTGTCACTGAAATGTAAATGATTAGAGCAATGTGACTCCCTGTTTCCCCCAACTCTTCTGCTCATTCTTGCTTTTAGCAAATGTAATTTAAAAATAATCAGTTCAGGATGGCTTGGTGGAGAGTGTTCTTGCCTTTGGGCCAGAAAAATCACTGGTTCGAGTACTAGACTGAGTGACCGATCTGGGTCAGTGGTTTGGGTCCCACCCCAAGGGCAGGAGTGGGGGTCCCCGCAGAGCTGCAGGACCTGCCTGGGTGGGTGCTGGGGACACCCCGGGCTGCCTCCCTTGGGAGAGGCATCCCCATCCCGTCAGCACCCAGGAGCTCCTGCACTGCCTGGCACGTCTGCCCACTCCAAAAGTGCCTTGGGGATGGGGGTCACAGACAAACCCCGTTTCCAGCCCGCAGCTGGTGCGAAGCCTGTGGAGGGGTCTGCAGGGGGACAGTCCTAAGTGTCACCTCCTTCTTGCTAATGGCGTTTTCTTCCTGGGCTTGTTCTTTTTCACAGCACAAAATCACTCAAGGTGAAGATTTCAGCGAGCTGCTGGACGACATCAAAAAGACTTTGCGCCACTTCAATATCATCATTACAGAGGGTCTTTGTTTTACCATCCCATTTATTGATCTGTATTTGCCGTTCCTGGACCTCCAGGATGACACACTGAACAGGTCAGTAGCAGTGGAGCCAGTGACTACAAGAGAGACTCCAAGTTACAAAAACAGATGCCCTTTTGATGTATGGAATTATTTTCTTGGAATGAATGGACATTTTGAGGCTGTTCTCCCTAGAGGAAATGCTACCGGTCTCAGCACGAGCAGTGCTGAGAGCCTAGGAAGGTACCAACATACAGCACATGCTAGAAACGGGACCGCTTTCCTCCCCGTCAGGAGGGCTAACGCCGTTTCCCAGCACCGTGCAGTGTCGGTGTGGGATCAGTGTCCATCACAAATGGGCTCAGTTTCCTGCTGGCAAATTCACTGTTCTTCATTGCTTCTTCATTGCGCCCCAGCCCCGGCACGTCCAGTTTTATAAATCCCAGATTTATAAATCCCAGATTTATGGGGGCAGTGGGGTTGGAGGACATGTTTGCACCCAAGTTTGGGAGATGAGGAGACAGGAGGGGAGGACTTGACGCCTTATTCCAGCAGCAGTCCAGGCTGACCTGTGCTTTGCCTCAGCAATGGACTTCTCTGGATCTTGTTTAGGGAACGACTAACCCCAGGCAGTGAGTCTAAACCATGTAACCAGAAAAACCTCCCACAAATCCCCCAAATGGAGACTGCTGAGTTTTACATGTCTTAGGTTAACCTTAATGTGATGCAAGCCTATGATCACAGCTTGGTACCTATTGTTTAAAACACCCGTGGTCTGGCCTGGAGTCCAGAAAAAATTTCCTGGATATCAAAAATTCCCTTTTGCCCCATTCCCCAGGTGACTGCGGTTACTGTCAGGAGTCTCTGCATTATTTTCCCCCCATACTTTGAATGCACTGATTAGGACTAGTGCTTCTGAAAATGTTTTGCTGTGCACATGGCACATGTTGCGGAGCCAGTCCTGGACTGCACTTCTGCCATTCTCCTCTGATCTTTTGGGAGAAAAATATTTACAAGGATGTTAAAGAAAATCTGCAGAGATAGGGGGGCTCAACATCGTGCAAAATACTTGGGATCTTTCCATTGCTCCTTGCCCTGCCGGGTGAATGGAGGGGTGCTTGCAGAGGGTTCAGTTCTCTGTACACCTTAGACATGACACTTCCCATTTTGCATGGTATTTGGGGACCTTTCTACCATGCTCTTCTCTCACTGCAGGTTGCAACATCACTGTTATGAACATACTGGCATATTGAGAGAGATTGTGGAAGTCATGAAAGAAAAATCATTGCCAGATCATGAGAAAATGAAAAGTTAAAAGCTCTTTAGGTGGAACATGATCCTTGGTGGCTGTCAGAGCTCTGCCCACAACCTCCTCTTCAAACCTTCATGAAAATAAACCAGAAACATTTATGATTAAAAATAATTCAGAAAATATCTGCTCTCCTTTCTGCTTGCTGACCGGGTAGAAGCGCAGCCGCCAGTGCTAGCCCTGCGCTGCGGGCAGCCGCTGATGGAGAGAGGCACGTCACCGTTGAGAGAAACTGTGGGCTGAGAAAAGATCACAGCCCAGGTCCTTTTCTTGGAAACCTTGTGGCAAGGCTGGGACTAGAGCCCAGACCTCCAGTGCTCTCCCTGCCAGCTCCCTCCTCCTAAGATCGAGCAGCCTCGGCGTAGCAAAGGGGCTGCTGAGTCAGAGCAAACTGACCCGCGCTAAGGAAATGGATTGTGATATCTCTGAACGAAGCGGCTCCTTTCTGGGCTCTGATGCTGATTAGCATCTTGGAACAACCCGCTCGGGTTTGTCTGGCAGTTTTAATGCAAACACACCCACAAGGCTTTGGGTAATGGGAGAAGGAAAGAGGAGACCTGCGGAGAGGCAGCCGTTCCTCCGCACGGCACGGGCTGTACCGGTACGGAGCTACAGCCCCAAAGCCCGGGCACGATGGCCGTGATGGCTAGTGGTCGATGTGCCTGAGATGACGAGGAACGAGCCACCCTGACCCCCTCCCCATCGTGCAGGCAATGGGGATTAGCAGAGCGGGGCTGGCTGCATGGCTCTGCTTTGCCCCTGACGCAGTCATAGAATTGTAGAATCATTTAGGTTGGAAAAGACCTTCAAGATCATCGAGTCCAACCACTAAACCATGCCCACTAAGTCCCCCGTTAGCATGCTATGGCAGAAACCGAGAAATGAGTGTTGGGGATGACGAAAGGGAGGAAAGTGCCCTGGGGGGTGCTGGGTTTGGGGGTTTGGCTCTCTCCGGGCTGGATGATGTGGGGAGAGGGGTGGGTGCCTCGTGGTGGGGACGCTGGGGACTCACGGCTCCCGTGACAAGCAGACAGGCTCGAGCCTTCGCTGGCCTCGACATGAGGCTGCGACAAGTTTGACTTCGATGGCACTGCAGGTGTAACATCAGGTGTTGAGTTTTTCTCAGTCTTTGACAGTTTTTATAGGACCATTCCTTGTGGTTCTGCACAATCCATGGGAGTTCAGCATTACCGGAGGAACAGCTACAAAAATACCCTCTTCACTACTATATGCCGTGGCTTCCAGCAGTAAAATAAATGAGTGCCAGACACGAGCCATATCTAAGCAAAATTATTGACACATCCCTACGGAGAGGGGTGAAGTGATTTTGCAGAGATGTCTCTGCTGCTGCCGTGGCCCTGCCTGCCTCTCGCCAACCCCAGAGAGCTCATCTCCGTGGTTCTCCAAAAATTGCCTTTCCGATACCAGCCCTGGGTTGCCGTTTACAGGGAGTTTGTGCCCCAAAGCCTTCGTCCGAGCCGGCTGGTGCAAGGGGGCTGAGAGCTGCTAACAGGAGCTCCTCATAAAAGAGCTAGGGAGAAACCAATGTCATGAGCTCCTGCTCAATTTGTGTTTCATGTTCTCATTTGTAATAATTTTGTGTTTTACGAGGGATACTTCCTAAAACTTCCCCGACATGATGGAAACACATGTGATGCTCCTACACATGATGTGACCCTTTTGGTGGAGAGATGAGATGAAAACCTGCTTTTCTCTGACAGCTACATGGGGTACGGTCCAGTGAGCCGGAAAATCGGTGGGGCGAGGGGTATCCGACCTTCCCCAGCCATGCCCACACTGTTCACTCCTCCAGAAGTACTGCCTGCATACCTTTGCATGCAGAATCTCCATGTGGATTTTCTTGCTAATTCATTATTTAAACTTTCTCTCCTCCTTTTTTTGTTTTGCTAGGGATAACCCAGCTCTGCGCCCATGCATGTCCACATGTCACCTGCGGGTGACATGGAAAGCATCACTTGGAATTTTATCTGAAGTGCAGGTTTGCTCCTGTGCTCTCTTCAAGGACAGAGCCAAACTGGGGGAAGCAAACACCAACACTAGAAGTGGTTTTTGCAGGCTTCAAAGCTAATAATGCCAAGGTTATTTGAATTAGCAAATCCCTCTACAAAGGGTATGACTGAGATATCAGCATCGCTGGCTGTATTTGGGCCATGCCGCAGCATGTGTCACCTAACTGGGACAATTCCTGCAGTATTTGTGTTTGGGTGAGTGACAAGGGTCACCTTGCCCATCAGCCAGGACCGCTGGCATCCCTTTCCCCACTGCGGTGGGTGCAGAGGGTCCCAAAAATGCAGGGCTGGGTCTCACCAGCAGCACTGCACCTACAGCAGCACACTGCCGGGCATCCCCAGCTCAGGATGTGGGCTGTCCGTAATCCTGGTTTTCATTATTTTAATGGTAAGATAAAACTTTTGTGTAGTGTGAAAAACAATCCTAAGCCTCCCTGTGTTTATAGGAAGGGCTCAGACAGGCTGAAAAAATGGTGTGTAAGGGCTGGAGACCGCAGGACAGCAACCAGCGTGAAAGGACACTGGTCATAAACGGTCTGGAGATATTTTTTAACTGAAAATAAAATTCTAATGGCAGGAAAGTGCAACAGTGATGTTGGTGAGTAATTCAGGATGGATGCAGAGACCAGCAATTACAGGTAGCAACCAAAAAGGTGGAGAGTGGTAAAATCCTCTAACTCTGCCAATGGATTTCTAGTTTTCAGCTGGGAATGGCAAAGCACTCTCAAGTTTTTCAGATTCCTTAAAATACTGTGGCTTTGCTTGATGGCCAAAACCATTTCTGCTTTGGAAGAAGCCTCTCTGCCTCTTCTTTTGGTGCTGAAGATGTGCTCCTGCCAGGGGGAGTTGGGGGTTGTTTTTTTTCCCATGAAAGCCTTGGCTTTGGCTTTCCATGGGGGACCTGTCCTTGGCCACTTCTGTGCATTTCCCACCTGCAGCTTCACCTTATTGTCCCAATAACGTTTTTTCTTGCTACTTAATTTTCCCTGAACCTTTGCGCACCTTTGAATGGGCTCACCTGGACCAAGAACTGCTGAAACACTTTGAGAAAATCTCTGAATGTGTCGGAATGTTTTTCGACCCCTTTGGCCAGGCTGGGCAGTGTGAAGCAGCCCTGTGGCCAGTGTCTTTGGTTTTGGGAGATGCCAGCAGTGATGCCAACACACAGTGATGCTGCCCCTCAGCTTTGTCCTGGGGAGACTCGACAGAGCAGCCAAATATGAAACGGGGGTTCTTAGCAAAGAGATCCCTGCGTATTAATGAGGGACATTAATGTACTTTGTGAGCTGGCTTCTCCTGCACTTTGGGCTGGTGTAAATTAGGACCAGGCCAAAAAAGTCAGGAGGGCTGCACCAGTGTAAACTGGACTTCGTAAAGTAAGAAGGAGAGGCCCCTTTTGTCAGGCGATGGCTTTTCCTCAGAAGCTAAATGATACATAATGTTTATATAGTGTTTTGCCTCTCCTAAATGCAGGCTAGACATTAATTGATTCCAGGTTTGCTCTGTGAAGTAGGTCAGCTCTTTCCATTTTGCAGATAAAGGAGCGGTGGGGATTGCCGAGGGGTGCATGGGGGGTCAGCGCCGGCGCTGGGGCACCTATACGGATGGCTGCCCTCGCCATCAGACCACGCTGCCTCCCTAAATATACACCACTTCTGATGTATGTCAGAATCAGCTGTGACTCTGTAAACCCAGTTACATTAAGCCTGGTTCAAATGAAATCTGTTTATGTCTCC